TACAACTCTTTGAGGATCGAAACATACCTCTAAGGTACTCCATTCCTCAACAAACAGCACCACAGTGTGGTCCTATCGATAGAGTCGAAGGTCGCATGGATATCTGAGAATACAGTGATCGCTGGCCTTTGGTAGGCATGACGGTGCTCTAGCAGTTGTCGGAGGGTGAAGATGTGATCGGTGCATACACGACCAGCGCGAAATCGAGCCTGCTCCTTGCGGGTCTGCAATTCACACATTGAGTACAATCAGCGGAGAATGACGGACGCCAACAGTTTTGACGCTATCGGGATAAGGCTTATACTCCTATTGGCACAGTCACTGTGCGGGCCATTTTTGAAGACGGGGCCAATAATTGATTCCTCTCACGAGAGGACCTGAGCAGTGTTCCAAACTTTAGAGAACAGAACTTGTAGTCCTCCTCTATTTCACCATCTTTAAATAGAGCAATAGGAAGGCCATTGGAGCCCGGTGCTTTGTAACGTCCCAAGGCTTGCATCCCCTAACGGATTCCCGCTTCAGTAGATGGGTCTGTTGAGACAGACAATGGGAAGAGTTGCAGAATAGCTATAGGAGAAGCTGACGCTGGAGGCCAGCTAAATGGTGCTTTGAATTGCTTCACCCAGCGTGCTAGACGTCACTGCTGATTATGAATGGGCAAACCGTCAGCGTTGCAGATAGTTTCGCTCGCACCCAAGGCTTTGCTACAGGTAACCCGGATGAGATGGAGCAGCTTACGGGAGTTCCCCATGGCGGCAGTAAGTTCCATGGGTGAGGTTGCGACCCGTTACGAGTCGTTTTTCATTTTGGTTGCTGCCGCTCAGGATTGATCGGCGAGCATCGAAAAGGCATAGAGAACCAGCAGAAATAAGGGGGCACGACATAACGTGTAGGACGACAACTAACCAAACCAACTGAATGCAGAGGACTTTTGCTAAGCGGCCAGAGCTGACTAGTGTAATCGGGTGGGGTTGGTTCTAGATTTTCAGCCATCGCATTCTGAAAGACAGTTAGGCTTCCTGGTTCAGACAACTTATCACCGTCTAACCGTCGTGTTGCGCGTTTAGAACGTCCGCCGAAGCACATGGACAGCAGGGCGCAAACTAACGCGTGGTCGGATTCATGGGGAGTGCTCCAGTACGATCAGTAGTGTTGGATGCAGCCCCGCCATTTGTGGATTATAGCGATGTGGTCGATCTACGTCCGTCGCTGACTTGAGAAGGGCGGACGCCAGGTGGCGTACCGGCAGGACCTCCCAGGTGCGCCTCATTCGAGGTCAACCCGCTTACTCTAGCATTCACATCTGTTAAAATCACTATATCAGCCCGGGTCGCTTTACGTAAGAGGTCGTTTAGATTATGGTAAAATTCATCACTTACTGCATTTGGGCTGCAGTCCTTCGGGGCGTTCGCCGACACGACAAACAAGTTTCGCCTATCGGGGCGACGGCTGCTTAGTTTGCACGATCCCCTGAGTCTCGCTGCGCATAGCTTACTGTCGACTGGGATTCAATCCAGGAGGGCGGCCTCAGCTCCCTCACTGAGAGCTACGCCGAAGCCAACAACACCGGAAGCAGCAGCCTCAGGGTCCCCAGGGAGGCGTAAGTGAAACTTTACAGATTGGTTAGATGGAGACGTCAATCAGATAATGGAGCCGGAGTCTTGAATGCGAGTCTCTTGGATGCAACACACACCGATGACTAGGGTTTCGAGCGTACGAGCTAACACGCCTGTTGTCCTATACGCATAAGAGTATGCACATTAAGTGTGGCTAGTTTGAATTGGTATCTAGGACGAAAATGGGCTTCAGCTGATGGAGGACTCGGTGGGACTTGGACAATAGTCGAGGTAAGACAGGAGCGAAAGGTGGTAGACTTTCCATCTGAGATGCTGCTGTTAGTACGATCGTTTGAAGAACCCGAGAGAGATGGAGGAGTGCTAGGAAGGTAAAATACTGGAGGGCTGTGGAGACATGAATGTGTTTACGGTGTGGAATGTTTCTCGTTCAGTAAAGAAACTGGAGACCGGAGAGATCTAAGATTCGAGGAACTCAGGAGGGGCTTCTTTCGCTTAAGTCAGTCTATTTTAACGGCAGTCAGAGTACGCAAGGTGTGAACAATCGATCGTTCTGAACCATTAATGGAGAGGTGATGACCGCTACCAGTCACAAAAGGTCGGGAAAAACTTACGCTACATATTACCCAATGAGTGATATGGCTGTGTCGTAAACAGTGGCGTTCGTGAATCTTCCCAACCTTTCCTGTTTTCCCCTTATTGTTCACCCAAATGGGCAGCCAAAAGCGTCGCACGAAAATGCATACTTAATGGTTGTTTAAGTTGAAACTGAAACCCAGTGCAATCTAACAAGCTTAAGACTGTTAACAGTCTATTGTCTCTCTCCAACAATTTGAGCAATGTCTGAACAGCACAAAGCGCTGCAAGGCAGACAGGCAGGCAACAACAGTGACAACAACAGCTCACAAAGTGACGTACAGTTTAGATATCAGTTGGAGTTTGACTGATGATTTTCGTGGAAACACCTGAGACCAATTAAAGCCTAGCTCAGGAAGAATGTAATTGCGGGTGGGGAAGGAAAGTGATGGTGGGTTTTGAACATCCGACCTCCGGATCGTTATTAGGATGACAACCTCTAAGTCGAACACAATCATGGAATTAATATTTTGTAGAAACTGTTGAGTAGATTCGATCGACTCGGATAAACTTGCGGTACATGAATTTTTTGGTAGAAAGATTGATATACGAGAGAGATCGCGGTACAAAGAAGTGAACGTTCGAACTGTATACCTTATATGGTACGATATAGAACAAAACGAAACAACGCAAGAGCACAACAAAAGACGTGGAACATCGCAACAACAATCACCATAGCACTAGTGAAGTAGCCTAAAGGTACAATGTAAAGTACAGTTCTTACAAGACGATGCGTCAACTCCACATGGTAGAACAATCGGGTCATGACCGGAGAGAATGAGCATCATCCAAACAGGGTTTGGTGGATTATGGCGCTTAGGTCAGCAACCGATCGCGGGACAAACGTTCCCTTTGACCAAATTAGTGAGCAACGTGAACGACGAGAAACGTTCGGCATAGCGGTGCACAGACTTACCAAAGCAACAACTTGCATTTCAGGGGTGAACGGAATACGTGTGGTTAGAGTGAAGTCAGACAATTTCCATAATTCCACGGATTGACCACCAATCAGGAAAGCGAGATATTGTCTGTGACCGAAAGGGGCAAAAAGCCGAGATAGACGGGGTGGGGGTAAAAGATCGGTGAAGTTCGTATAACTTGAAATCTCTGTAAGACAGAAATCGTGACGGACAAAGTCCGCGTGTCTGGGCCTCGGCATGAGGTTTGGTATGTCCCACAACCAATTTTCTGATATTTTGTTACGCACTATGTCTAACCGAAATGAAGACAAGTTTGCTAACAAGTCACACGAATCCCACGGGATCAACAGAAATGCATTGTTCAGTTCATCAAATCACTCAAATCCACTTAATGGTTTATGTAACATGGGAATATTCAACTGCCACATGATCATATCATAAAAAGCAGGACCAAGGTGGAGTAGTGGAAAAAATATCGGTTAGTGGACAAAGTGAAGCTTTCCGTTCGAGGGGTTGGGAACCAATTAAACACCGAAGAACGGTTTACGATAGGAACGGAGGATTCACTCATGTACGATTTCAGGAATATCCACTCGTGTGTTATGAGAAGTAATCGTAAGAAACATTTCACTTTAAGTTCTATGATTTGTAGACCTTAGTGGTAAAATAAATTCCACAATTTGGATAGAGAAATCAGAAGTCACACTACCTTTGCCTCGTTCGTTTTTTGTACTCCTGTTGTATCATGTTCAAATTTGTGATTAGTGATTATCTCCTCGTTTGATGGTTTATTATCTCGCTAAGTATAAAATAATCACTTTGATTGCAGTGTGTGCACAGATGACCACGAAAATGAAAGTTAACTTTAGGACTAGGCAAATGTCAAGATGTAACCGGACGCCTTGACGGACAATGGAAAAGTTAATAGGCCAGACACAAAACATACTCGAGTACAGTACGGTCGGCGATCAAATGTAAAACCGTGCATTCATAATTGAACAAAAATAATTATTGATTTGAACTGACTGTCCTTCGAAATTCACCTTCGCGCACAATACTCAGTTCATCGATTCGACCATACATTTGGAAGCACTGGATTCGAGATTTTCTCTTATTAGAGCGCATCAGTAGTGCACAGCCACCGTCTCTCTGCCCGAAATTTAAACTACGGACCCACTGCATGGAAAACGTGTGCGGTACCACTGAGAACGACACCCACATAAACATGATTTAGCAATTTGGTTCAGCCATGATATGAGTTGGTTGGTATAGTGGTAACGCACACGCCTTCAATGCGATTGATCAGTAGTTCAAATCACCGACGGGAACGGTGGAAATGCACTACTGATAAGCTTTAATAAGAATGAAACTAGAGTGAAGGGCTTCCGACTGTATAGTTAAACCGATGAATTCAGGATTG